TGATACTTATGATTTTCTAACTTGGCTTTCTTGGAAACTATGTTTTTATATACTTTAAAAATGAAAATTTTGGTTGTGATTTTCGAGACGTTACAAAGAAGATGTAAAATAGTGTAGGAAGTGTGGAAAACGTCATAGAAGAGATTGTATAATGGGTTAGTCTGCATGTTATAAATGTGTTCGTTATGGTCACAAGGCTAAGGATTGCAAATTTAAGGACACTAAAGAAGTTTAATGTTTTACTTGTCACGAGAAAGGATATTATAATTCCAATTGTCCTAAGAAGGGGAACGAGGAGTTGATATCCACTTCCAAAAAGAAAGTGGATCCATCTAAAGTAAAGGGAAGAGCATTTCAAATGACACTCGAGGAGGTTAAGGAGGCGTATGACATTGTTGTAGGTACATTGCTTGTAAACTATTTACTGACACATGTTCTTTTATATTTTGGTGCAAATTATTCTTTTGTATCATATAAATTTCGTAAACATTTTTTCATATCACTAGATGATGCATATAATATAAATAACTAATGGTGAGTTTGTTTCCATAAGACGATGCATATATATAATATAAATAGCTAATGGAGATTTTATAAGACACGTGTACAAAAATTGCTCTATCGATATCAAAGAAAAAATTTGCAAAGATAAATTATTATGGATTATAATTAAGGGTTTAGATATATAGTTTTGGGAATGGATTGGACTGAATGTATGGATATTAAGATTCTTTGTGGCAAGGAACTAGTATTAATGAAACTTCCCAAAGGAGAAAAGTGTATGTATATGTTGAGAAGCGAAATAACATGCAAAGCTTAATCTCCACAACCAAAGCCCGTTGATGCATTCTTAAAGGATGTGTCTCCTTCATTGTTTATGTTCTTTATGGGAAAAGTGAGAAAAATAAATTAGAAGATATAAAGGTGGTTCGATAATTTCCCGAAGTGTTTCCTAACAACTCACCCGGTTTGCGTCGGTAAGACAGGTAGAATTCCAAATTGATCTTAAATAGGGTGAAACTCATATTACGCGAATACCTTATCAAATCACTCCCACCAAAATTCAAGAATTTATGTGTCAACTTAAAGATATCATTTATAAAGGATTCATTCAACCTAGTTCTTCCCCATGGGGTGCACTCATGTTATTTGTGAAAAAGAAAGATGGATTAATGTGTTAGTATGTTAGTGATTAGGGTTTAGGACCAAGACCCTTAGGGTTTAGTTTAGGCGAAGGGCCCATTATGTATCTCTATTTATATGAGGTTTAAACCTCATTATGTTAGTGATTAGGGTTTAGGCCCAAGACCCTTAGGGTTTAGGTTAGGCTAAGGGCCCCTTATGTATCCCTATTTATATGAGGTTTAACCCTCACTATTAATCAATCAATCTATTTTATAACATAATGTGTATGCGCATTGACTATCAGAAACTCAATAAAGTAACATTTATTATATTATTTATTGATGACATTGATATTTATTAGGTTTCATAACAAATCATTAATGGTTGGCCAAATCATTGATACAAATAACACAACAGGCAAGAAAATTTCATTCAACTTGGTGGGGAACCAGGTTGACTTGCCCCAATTGGGGACAGGTATTCCCTGCAAAAACGGGTAGCAGGTATAGGGTCGGGGATCCCTATTAGGCTAAAATCGGGGATGAGGCTAGGGTCGGGTACACCAATCCCCAACCCGTACACCCCCGCTTTGATGACATTATATATATATATATATATATATATATATATATATATATATATATATATATATATATATATATATATATATATATATTATTAAATTTGAATTAATTCCACATCAGAGAGACAAAGTCCATATGCCAAATTACGTTCCCAATTCCAAGAGTTCGTCAATCGTCACTTTGTTTGATGGTCCATATACCAAATCATCACTTCTTATTTTGATGCTTGTAAAATTTATGATTGATGTAAACACAATCTAATTATTGCCTTTGGTTTTGATCGCTTATTAAACATGAAATTATTATTTTTTGCTTAAATTGAGTTTCATACGTTGATAGATCGAGGATGAACCGGAGAAAAGTCCAAAATCTAAAGGGGAACGAATTCAATTCCTTGCATATGTCGGGGATGGGTATGAGGACGGGGTTAGGTACTCAGGGATGGGGACAGAGATGTTCAACCATGCCCCATCCCCGCCCCATTTCCATCCATATAACACAATAAAAAATGCTACTCCTTACCGCACATTGATACTTTATTTGATCAACTTCAAGTGGCTGATTATTTTTCAAAAATTGATTTTCGTCCAAGTTACTATCAAGTACGAGTAAAAGACAACGATATTGAGAAAACTGTTTTTGAACTTATACACACTATGAATTTCTTGAGATGTCAATCAGCCTCAACAATGCACCGACTCTATTTATGGACTTGATGAACTGAGGGCACAAATCTTTCATAAAAAAGTTTGTAATTGTATTCATTGACGATATTCTAATTTATTCGAAAATCGAACAGGATCACGATAAAATTTGTAAGAAATCTTGCAAGTCTTGAAAGCAGAAAAATTATATGCAAAAATTTTCAAATGTCATTTTTGGCTATGACAAGTGAAATTATGGGGAGATATTTTACCAACCACCATCATCATCTTTGTCATGCTTACTGTCTTGTCCAACCATCATCATCGATGTCAAACTTATTTCTTTACATTCTCTTAGAGATTTGTATGGTTCCAGAATCGGCCCGAATTGGATTAGAACCAAAATAACTGATAATCTGAAGTGATGGATTGGGAGAACCGAGAACTGGACCGGATAACCCTATTCGGTCCAACTGATTCCGATTTCGATTCGATTCGATTCTTCTAGGAAGTGTGCTATCTAAGAAGGTGTCCAATAACGAAACCGGTCCAAACCTATTTTTTTTTGAAACGGCAAATCTAACCTACTGCTAAACTACATCTTAAATCCACCTATGTCCACGACGGGACTTGAACCCTCAACCTCAATGAGGGAGGGCAACACTGGATACTGCTGGGCTAGAAGCCCTTTGGTGGTCCAAACCTAATTAGAATCGAAAAAACCAAAAACTGAAAATGATGAATTGGAAGAACCGAAAACCAGACTAAATACCCGGTTCCAGTTCAATTTTTTAGTTAAAAAGCTCATCCCTATTTTCGTTGGTAACCACCCTAATTCCTATTTGAACTCTCCATTTCCAAACAAGCAACACCCATTTGGGTATCTGGATCGTCATCTCCCCCGAAAAGATTTCGAGTTTGGTAAAAACTATTTCAAAATCTTCTTTCTTGAAATATTGAAACCTTGATTTCATATACAACACTTTTCTTTTGTTTTCATTGTGAGAAAAAAGGAAATCGCAACATTAGATATCAAGGAGTTTGATCAAATTACCAAAAACAACATTCACTGTAGTCGTATATATCAAGGGCTCGAGTTTGATTTCATTTGAACTTAATTTCATGTTCTTAATCTTGATTTTGATTTCATCCTGTATTTTGATTTCCTCTAGAACTTTGATTTTATCCGGCTTATTTTGAATTTGATCTGAAAACCATGTCCCTAGATTTAGTGGAGGGTAATTAGATGAGACTAGGGCTGTAAACGAACCAAACGAACACGAACGGGGCTTGTTCATGTTCGTTCGTTTAAGTTAACCGAACAAATGAACGAACACGAACGGTTAAACGAACGAGTTTTCTTGTTCATGTTCGTTCGTTTAACAAATTACATTGTTCATGTTCGTTCGTTTATGTTTGTGAACATGCTAAACGAACATAAACAAACGAACATAAACAAACGAAGATAAACAAACATATATGAACATAAATGAACATATAATATAGTAATGTAATCAAACACAATTAAACATATATGAAGATAAAAGGAACTTATATGAACGAACACGAACAAACGTAAACGAATAACATAAACGAACGTTCACGAACATAATTGAACGAACGAGACCATTGTTCATGTTCGTTCGTTTAAGTAAATGAACGAGAATTTGTGTTCATGTTCGTTCGTTTATTAAATAAACGAACATAAACGAACTTCCAGCCGAGCGGTTCACGAACAGTTCGTTGAACGTTCAGTTAATTTACAGCCCTAGATGAGACATGGTTGAGAGTGGGTGAGCTAAAGTATGGTAGAAATTTCTATTTGAATATTAATATAAATCATAAATAAGTAAAAAAAAAGATATTATAAAAGGTATAAAAGTCTTAGGGACCAACTTTTATCACAGCATCATTTTCATCAACAAAAATAGTTACCGACAAAATATGCAAATCTATGAAACCACATGGACCAGTTATGTAATTTTATACATTAATTTTATCTGATGAGTATATAATAATATTCTTTAGACCAGGAATCTTTCCTACAGCTGGAAAAGCAGGCCCTCATTTGCCGTGAAGCATATTTAATCTTAAATTCAAGAACCCATCATAATCAAGATGATCTGGTATCCACTAGAGTAGTGGTGCATGTATTCATATGATCATAGTATCCCCAAATCTTGATCCAATTCTACTAAATGTGGCATCATCTCGGGCCTAATTAGTGCTAAACTAGTGATTATTGATCCGATTGCAAAAGGGGGTGTGTATTTTGATTTGCATTTGGGGTTTTAAAGCTTTTAATGCATACAAAACCCCGATGGATTCAAGAATTGATGTGGGTTATGAATCTGGGATTGTAGAGTTCCAATCGATATCTCATCTTATCCATTTCAATCATCGAAATATGAATTTTACCCTGGTGTCCATGAATTCGATCATTTAAAGTTTTGAAACACAAATCATTTGCAAAATTCGCATCTTGAATCTATATCATCTGATGAAAAAAGATATAACAATAGTAGACATACACAGGGTCACTCAGATGAAATGAATCCCTCACTATTTGACCTAAAATTTACATTACCGAATCAATAGCATTAGCAGTCTGTCGCAGCGGAGGACACGCATTACCGAATCAATAGCATTAGCAGTCTGTCGCAGCGGAGGAGGAGGAAAAGAATTTCTTCGGTGGAAGGAGCATAGATCTACACAAAGGGCAAGTTACCTGACCTTCGTCTACCCATCTATCCAAACACTCTCGATGGAAGACATGTTTACAATTGAGAAGCTCTCTGATTAGATGAGTTGCATCGATACAATCCAGGCAAACGGAGCACGCCGCCGTCTCTGATTCGCCATGACTGTAGGCGAAATCGGAGTAGGGTATGATTGGGACTTTAGCCTTGATGGAGGCGGTAACGACGTGGACAGGGACAGGGAGGAGGGAGGGGGAGGAGCCGTCTAAGATGAGAACATAATTAGAGGAGGAGAAGGTGTAATCGTCGGGATCAGGCGGCGATTTGAAGAGGCCGACATGAGTGAGTGCTGCAAGTAGGAGTGATACAAGATGAGATGCTACGTTTGTGAAGATTGTCATAGTGATTGCTTGTGGAATCTTGATTGCTAGATAGAAAAGCCCCATGGAATTCTGTTTTAGATTAGATGAAAGAATGGAATCCGTCGGCGATTTATAGAAAGGGGCGGAAGAACGGTGACGACGGTGTCCGTGAGGATGTTGTAGTGTTTTGCAAAAATGGCAGTGGGATAGAGACTCATCCATTTCTTTATTATTGACTACTTTATTCTTAAGATTAGATTAGATGAACATAAATATGATATTGACGTTTTTTATGTAGTTTTTTTTTTATTTTATTTTATATAATGTCTAGTTGTTATGATTAGATGAACATAAATATGATGTTGACATTTTTTATGTAGATTTTTTATTTTAGTGTCTAGTTGTTATGTAGAGTAAATGACATCAATCGCCCTTTAGGCTACCGGGAGTGGAGGGACCTCCACGCGTGAAATGCTTACGTGGAGGCTCTCTCCACGCGTGAACACCGCCCCTGGATTTAGTGGGTTGGTGGTGGTGTGGCTCCCAGGATGGACGAATACGCGTACATTCATTGGTCCTTTAATTTTGACGGTTGGCTTGGTTATTAAATAAAAAAAAACTTTTTTCCTTTAATTTCCTTTCTCTCTCTCTCTCTCTCTCTCTCTCTATATATATATATATATATATATATATATATATATATATATATATATATATATATATATATATATATACATCCACTTATACACAATTTTTTTAAAACAATCATACAAATTCTCTTAAATCAAACATACAAATTCAACAAAAAAATGGATAGCGGTTCTGATGACGATTTGGTGTTGCACACACTATTGTCTGCGACACAAGACGTGATTCGTCAGAGAGGCGAAACTTCACACCGCGAGAAGAAACATAGAAAATATATCAATCGGGATCGAGAGGCGGCACATGAACTTTTGGTACGTGATTATTTTGCCCCTGATAGTCTTTATGACCTGGCGAAATTCGAAGACCGTTTTCGTATTAGTAGAAATTTATTTTTACGTATAGCTTCAGATTTGGAATGTAATTGTTTTTCCAATTACGATGGGATGCTAGAGGTAAACGTGGTTTTACCACAATACAAAAATGTACGGCCGCTCCTAGACAATTGGGATATGGTATAACTGCAGACGCATCAGATGAGTATCTGAAAATGTCTGAGAGGACGGGTCGAGATTGTACATATCTTTTCTGTGAGTATGTTATAGAGCTTTACCGTGACATATACTTGCGACATCCGACTAAAAGTGATGTCGAACAGTTGTATGTCGCGCATGAAACTAAACATGGTTTTCCAGGGATGTTTGGTAGTATTGATTGTACACATTGGGAGTGGGCAAATTGTCCCAATGCGTGGCGTGGTCAATTCACACTAGGAGATCATGGGGTCCCGACTGTTATACTGGAGGCGGTTGTTTCAAACGACCTATGGTTGTGGCATGCATTCTTTGGTATGGCGGGGTCAAACAATGACCTGAATGTGCTTCATGCGTCTCCGTTATTTAACGATATTTTGCAGGATAAAGCACCAGATATGTCATACGTTGTGAATGGAAATGAATACAAGTATGGATATTACCTAGGTGATGAGATATATCCAGAGTATGCTACATTTGTTAAGTCTTTTCGTTTCCAGCCGATGAGAAACGAAAAGTGTTCAAGTTAGCATAGGAATCTGCACGGAAGGACGTTGAAAGAGCGTTTGGAGTCCTAAAACAAAGGTGGCACATAATCAAGCATCCAACACGAACATGGGATAGGGCAAAACTAACGACGGTGTTGACTGCCTGTGTGATTTTACATAACATGATAATAGAAGAAGAGGGCAGAACTATTTGTTCATATACCGGGAACGATGTACTTAACCCACCTGCAGTAATACAAGTTGGCAGCCCGGCATACTTCTCTAGGGTTTTGGAAATACAAAATCGTGAAACACATCACAATCTACGGCACGATTTGACCGAGCACATATGGGGGAGACAACTCCAAGGGGGAAATGACGATGGAGACGAAGAGGACGAGGGCGATGATTACGACGAGAATGCAGACGGTGACGACGAGGCGGGTGAGGATGATGACGACAAGTAGTATTTTTCTACGGTTTTTATGTTTTACTTTTTTTTTAAATTAAGTAGTGTAGTATTTGATTTGTTAGGTTTTATGTGTGGTTTTAGTAATTTTAGGTTTTAAATTTCTATGTTTTTAATTAATGAAATGTTTTTTTCTTTTTGTGTTTTCAAAAAATTTATTTATCTTATAAATTATGTTTTTTATTTCATATAGTGTTACAAAAAATAAAAAAAGTTACCTATTTTATAAATTATGTTATTTATTTAACATAATGTTAAAAAAAAATAAAAAATAATAAAAAAGTGAATGTTGTTAGTGATGACCATTTCCTATATGGAGTGGGTTGGTGGTGAAGGTGACGTGGCGCAGATGTGACACCACTTTTCCGGTGAGTTGGTGGTGACCACTCCATATAGCCTTAGTTATAGATAATTTTTGTGTAATTGTGTATCATATATTTTCTTTTTCTAATTTGATTTTTTTTTAATGTTTTTGTGTCTTTGTGGGAGGTGGGGGTCGAGGTTGCGGTTGTGAACATTGGGTTCCTAAACAGCACGTTCTGTTGGAATGAATGAACTTACTTATAGACAAACCCATTATATCGATAACATTCTTAAGAAGTTAAACTCATGTGATTATAATGTAGCGATGACACCAATTAATGCAAGCCATCACCTAGTAGAATATGCAAGAAACATTGATAGTTTGACATACCTCATTGGTTGCATCAGACCTTACTTAAATTTTGCGTGAACATCGGAAGAGTGTTACAAGAGTGTTGAAATACTTGAGGTATACTTGCACTTATGGTTTATACAATATATCATAAAGTAATCGAAGAGTATAGTGATACAAATTCGATATTTGACAAAAAAAGTTTCAAGTGAACCATAGATTTTTGTTCACACTTGGTGGTGCAACTATATAATGGAAGTCCCCAAAGTAAACAATTATTACTAGATCGACCATAAAATCAGAGTTTATAGAATTTGATAGATCCACAATGAAATCAGAGTTTATAGAATTTGATAAAAGTGTAGACGAAGTTGTGTGGCTACATCAATTCTTGGAAGATATATCAGGATAAATCACTCAACAATTAGACGAATGTAAAATGTTATGTATATATAATGGTCGTCTCGACATATACGGTAAGAGCACAATACCGTAACAAACATAAGAATAGGAACCTACCTAGGCCATGGACATGGCCGGTCCACTGTTTTTTACTACTTAGGGCAAGATAAGAATTTTATGACTTTATATATATATCATACGATAGATAAAACATATCTATAAAATATTTATAAAATCAAAAATACAATAAATTTTATAATCAAACAAATAATACAAGTAAAAACCTACAAAAATCACCTAAAAATGATGTCTTTATGCATTTTTTGAAGCTAAAACATCTTTTATTTTACAATAATCAATATTTTATAAAAAAATCACTTTCAATACTTAAAATTGTTAATACATTCAATCTTTTTTTAATTCATGGGAATTCGAATATACGATTTCAGGAGATTCTATTTTGAGAAAGTTCTTTCCGTGGTAGCAACCGTAACCGACACAATCAACAATATCATATATGCAACCAACACATTAGTGAACATATCTATTATTTTTGCATACTCCACTCTTCTTGCTCTTTTTTTTTTCTATTTTGAGGAGCACCTTATGGTTGTTTTTTGGAGAAACATATTTAATACTCAACAAATCTAATTATAAAATTTAAGCAATGAAAAATACAACCAATTCAAAGTTTATGTTTTTTCACTTTTGGTATGTCAAAGAGATCTGAAAAATAAATCACATAATAAAAAATAAGAATCTATTTTTCAAAACTATTATATTGTAACAATAGAATAAATTTATACATTTCTATTGCCTCTGTCTTTTGGCACTCACTCTCTATCATGTTCACTATCCCTGATAATAGATATACTAGGTATTATCCCCTAAGTCGCCGGGGGCTAGGTCTCCACCTGTTGTTCCTAAAAGTCTAGATGGTAAAAAAAAAACAGAAATAAGAACTCATAAGTTCAATAGATAATTATACGTCTTTATGCTTCCTGATTCACATCTAAAAACAAAAACACAAAATTTTAGAAGACAAATTAAAAAAACAACGAGAAGGCATTAGATTTCGATTCAAACAAAGGAGAACTTTATACATTTCTACTGCCTCTATAAGTTAGGCTAGATAGTAAAAAATGCATAAATCAGAACTCACAAGTTCAATAGATAATTAAATGTCTTTCCTCCTCATCATTCACATCAAAAAACAAGAACACGAGGTTTAGAAGACAAATAAAAAAAAAAAAAAAAAAAAAAAACCGAGAATGCAACAATTTTTTTTACATAAATCAGATACAAAGCAACAATAGTTTGACTTAAAATTAGAGCTCAAACAGAGGAATAAGATACAAAACAATAACAGATTTTGACTTCAATTAATCATATAATATTTGGGACATAAACACTTTTTAACTGAACACGAATTCAACATATAAAGATAAAAAAAAAATTCACCCAAATCAAAGAAAAGAAACCAGAAATAAGAAAAAATTAAGAAAAATATGAAGTAAAGAAAAACTAAAAAAGAACTCACTGAAGAGTAAAGAGATTCAGTGTGATATCCTCAAATTCGCGGTTATTTTAAAAAAAAATTATGCTTATTTGAAAATCAGAGTATTCATTTTAAAGAATAATATTGCAGAATTTGTTCCCAGAAAACATGATAAATATATTATCAAAACATTTCCGAAGAAATGTATTTTTTTATATTAAAACTTTGGGATGTCATCGTCAATACATAAACATAAGCATAAACAAACCTTACATTCATTTACACAAGTGATTTACATCTCCTTTAATCTTTTAGTGTAATGTAGCTTCGTATCGACATCTATGATACAAATAAACTGAGTGGGTCAGGTTGGGAAACCTAGTGAGTACATAGGGTTTTCAACCCATAATAATAAACTTATTATGTTTCATCATCACACAGTTAACTCAATTACTCATCCCGATTATCTTATTTATATCTTAATGATCCACCCTAAGAATCATCTATCATTCACTCATTCATTCCTAAGGAT